ATTATATTAACTGGTATACAAAAGTGATTTTGGTGGCAACATTTGTTAACTTTCCACTTGATATCTACCATATTTTGAATGACAGCAGTTTAAACAACTGTCACAATAAGCTCCTTGAAAACCATACTTTTCCAGTTTACGTTTTAATGCCAGTGAACGAATATTATAAAATATATCGTAGCAAGTAACATATGAAAAATGGCCGATACTTTAATTTCTGGGATATTTGTGACTGGAAATTATGGGATACGGGATATTTGGTCAAAAAATTACAGGGATACGGGGTATATAAGACCCCCCCTAATGGGGCCTCATTACATAGCTTGAGGTAAGCATGTTTTTGAATAAATGATAACATAATTATCATTAGATTTGGCTTTTGTAGTGATTTTCTGGTGATCGGTGTTGTAACAAATTAGTAATTATGTAGACTGTGTTTGCTTCTGTATGTTCAAAATAATATTTTGAAGGCCTTAACAACTAGCAAGACATGGCAATATCTGATGAGCTGCGTCATTTGGAGCTGTTCTTGGTTGATGAGTTCCAGAAAGGCCGTAGAGTGGCTGATCTTTATGAACTGGTTCAGTATGCAGGAAACATTGTTCCTAGACTGTAAGTTGAAGTAAATGCAAAGAAATAATTAAATGAAGATTGATTTTGTTAACGAGTTTGCCTCTGCAGTCATTCATATTCAGTTAGGCACATTTATATGGAGAAGGCGTTTTGTGGGTAGAAAGGACACTCGCCTATCCTGGGCAAACAAACTTTTCCTTTATTTTCTCATGAAACTTGACGAACCCTTGACGTGAGAAACAAAAAGTTGGCTCTGCTAGAAGGGTGACCCATCTAGCTGTGCCTTTTTTCGATGGTCAGGTCATCCTCCCAGCTAGGCCAAATGTTCTCCATTTAAACAATTTGGCTCACCCAGCGAGGTCAACTTGGTCAAGCATGACACTCAAAGGATGCATGAGTGTTCTTGGCTAGGGAAAAGGGGTAACCTTCTTTCTTATATAAACGCTTTCTAAAGTTGGCTAGGCTGGGAGGGACAAGTTTTCTCTAAATAAGCACACAGTCAGGGTCTTAGTTTTTGCCCCAGTTAAGAAATTACAGCTGTAGATTGAGGCTTGTAGAAATAGTGTGAAGTTTAATGGAGCATTTTATGTGGGTATAGCCAAGAAATGACTAACTCAGCTAATTTGTTAAGTGACTTTGGACACAGAGCACAGTTTGATTTAGCTGTGTTTTGAATTTCTTACAGCCTAATGTTATTTTTTCATCTCAAGGTACTTGTTGATAACAGTTGGAGCTGTGTACATCAAAGCTAAAGAAGCATCTCGCAAGGATATTTTAAAAGACTTGGTTGAAATGTGCAGAGGTGTCCAGCATCCACTTAGAGGCTTGTTTCTTCGCAACTACTTGCTACAGATGACAAGGAACATGTTGCCAGATATTGGAGTGGATGAAGCAGCGTAAGATAATGTCAATAAAATTGATTGGCTGAAAGTTTAACCATTGTTAAGAAGATCTTGATATTTTTACACACTAATTACTAATTCGTAAAAGTAAGTACTGTTGGACAGCCTGGGGCTAGAGGATTTTGCTATCAGGCTAGTGAATTTTGTTCTTAGCTTGCCTGATGGGCAAGTAAAGTTTTTCTAGAATTCAAATTACAGGAGAACTGTGTATTCAAACCTGCCTGTCCAAAAGCTTTTGGGGCTAGTTAAAGTGATGTTTGGGCTAGTACTTGCTAGCTACAGCTAACCCGAATGGCAAGCTGTAAAACTGACTTTCTTTGCACCCTGCATCCCATGTGAGTGATTGTTGCCATCTTTCACTTGGGAATCA